TCAGGATCTCCTACATAGGTCCCCCTCCGAGTGGCTGACAGTGGTAGCCAGGCACTATCTAGTTCTTCTGGTCTCTTAGCTGTAGAGGCTGAGGATCACATGGTGTACAGCCCCTTGGACTAGTTGTTACCATGAATTTTTGTTTTTCTTCACTCTTCTTTGCTCTGGACGAGGAGAGACCCATTGTTGCATCTAGATGGCTGCTTGCAAGCTTTTAAGATCCCAGCTGCTATTTGCCAAAGTAGGATGTGGAACAATGTTTTTGTGCAGTATGTTTGCCAATTGAGGTTGATGTCCCCGCGATTATGGTCCCGAACCCACAGGTCCAACTACTTGTTCCCTCTGGGTAGCTGGCTATGGCCAAGAAGTGATTACAACCTTGTCCTGCAGGGTCATTTTTGCATGTATGTTTGACTGACATTTTGATATAAGTTCAAGTTTTGAGTTAGATAAAAGAGCATATATTAAAATGTAAGATAACAAAACTTTTTTCACTAATTTTTCCTTTAAAGGGATGGTGTCTGGTTACTTAGTGCCATTCTGACAGGAATATATCACAAATGGGATGGCTTTAACAAACAGTAGTTTATTCTCTTAGAGTTTGGGGGCTTTTCAGTCTGAGTTCAAAGTGCCAGGCTCTAGGGGCTGGGTGAAAGCCCTTCAACCTTGGGCTTCAGCTCAGCCTCCTGCTCCCAGACCACTGAAGCTGAAGGCTTTTCTTTCCTCAGACAGCTGCTGACTGCTGAGACTGACAAGCCCAAGGTTGATAAGTAAAAAGGCACAGTCCTGATGTTATCAAATCACACAGCAGGTCATGACTTCAAGTCCATTGAAAGTCCCAAGGTCAGCAGAGCATGGCAGGCTGCTGAATGAAGACATGGATACATGCAGGGTTCAAGCATGCCATAAGCTAGAGATCATTCCCCAAGGCTTCTCCTTATATATGGAAAGCAGACCACATCTCTAAGGCAGCTAGCTACTCAGCTGCTTACAGTAGATTCTGCCATGGAGCTGATTACCAGTCTCATCATGGGGAATACTATATCCAGCTGCCCAGTCACTCAAACAGGCCCTGCCAAATTGACACACAAACTTAACTACCACAGATGGAAAATAAGTGTTCTGTAAGAAATTATAATTTTCAAATAAACACAAAATAAACCAATTCATTCTGAATAAGTAGTAACAACTTTATTTAACTTGACGCGCTGAAATGCAAAAAATATTTTCAGCAATAAGATACAAAAAGTATGTATCTCACCATTAACATCAACTGATTAAAAACGAGCCTGAAAAGTTCATTATAAGTCTTTATACATTTGAATCTTGAAAATCAATTTCCCCAGAACTAATATTTAAATTATTTTAGCAGAATTACATTTTCAAAAATGGGACTCACTTAAGTTATATCTTCATTCTAAAAACCTGAATGCAAAATTAACTGGGTTACAGTGTACAATGATAAACTCTTAACAGAAAAAGATTTAAATATGAGAATTCTTTTTCAAACATCAAGTCCACATACTGCAAACAGAAGACACGGTGTGGTAATTTCATTCCCAGTGAAGAGGAAGTCTTGCATATGGTAGGCACTCAATATTTGTTCAACTGGACCTAAAATTCATATCACTTTATGAAAACTTACTTAAAGTATAACTCATAATCTATACAAAAAACACTACCAAAATACTTGTATGTGTACTGAAAGTGCTGCTTTATAATCTGAGAACACTAAAACAAACCTACCCATCCACCTATTTTGCAAGAACAGTGAATATTTTTATTTTATCCATTAAAAGAGAATGAACAGAATAATTCACCTCTTCAAGTATACCTGGCTATGAGAAAAGTTTGTTGAGCTGGATTTTCACAACTGAACAAAGTTCCTGTTCTAGTTAGAAAGACTGGGTAGCATCTATGACTTTTAAGGAGTTCTCAGATTTTAAATTTGTACACCAAAATCAAAGGGGTACATAAATTAGTAATTATACTTTCTACAGTTTAAGTGGTAACTTAAGTTTAAAAATAAGCCAATAATTTTCATGACAACTTTTTAAGAGAACATTAATATTTTTAAGCTTAATTTTATAACTTATGTCCTAAAAAGGCACTGTTTCACATTTCATCATGCAGTAAATTGGTCCATTTTTGAGAATTATAATTTCCTCTATCAATATCCCCCCAAATAAAGCACATTTAAATGAAATATTTCAGCTAACCTGAACTTTCAACATTTAACTGAGTCCTATTTTCAGAAATTCATTCTTTTGAACATACCACACACAAGCAAATTTAAGTATACACACACGTACACACCCAAACACACAAATGACCATATAATACATGCAAAGTTCTCCAATTACTATTTCAAGACAATGAACATGAAAATTCAAGGAGGTAACATTGGCAAGCCATAATATTATGGCACCTTCATATTTGTGCTCCAAATACCAATGCATGTTAAAATTGAAAAAGAAAAAAAGGCACAAATATAGTGTTTCTAAGTCTTACTCTAAAGAACAGTTCTCCAATGGTTATTTTTATAATATGTAACATTTAAAACCACTCACTACATTTCTAAAGAGAAGCCCTGTTTAGGTGACAAAAGGGACCAGGAGCAGGCAGATAGTTCAAAAGGCAAGACACTGCTGTGGATAAGATTCTGTTCCTATTGAAAACAATGTGTGTGGTCTAAAGTTGGGAGGGTGGAGGGAGGGCTATTAGAGCACTGATTTCAGAATACATTAATAGTTTTTCAGCATTGCCTCAAGAACCCACAATACCAAAAATATACATAATAAATAAAAAAATAAATCAACTTGTATACGATTCTGTTAGTAGAATGATAGGCATTATATTATCTGAAAAGTGGACATTTCTACAAATGTGGATACTACATTTATAGCACAGTGTTTGACATTTTTGGTAAAAAAAAAAAAAATGTGCTACCAAACTTACAAAAAAAAATCTTTGTAATAAAATCCTTAAGATTTGCAATAAACATTAAAGTAAGGACAAGCTGAAATGTTCATAATACCATATTACTGAAGTCACTATGGTTAGAACTGTAGATTCTAGCAGTGAATTCATTCACAATGTGCCTGTGTGCATTTGATATAAATGAAGACACCAGTATTTTTATAATATATGACAAAAAATATTCTATAGCCTGAGGAAGGAATTTTTTTCTTGTAAGACCCTAGTAAGATCTTAAATTAAAAGTGTATATGTGTGTGTGTGTTGAATTTCACATTGTAAACTTAACGGGCTCAATCATACAGTGGGAGTTAAGAAAGTGAGCTTTTGAACCCCATTAACATCTTACATAGGATGGAGTCCATTATGAGGTAAAGATCTTTCTTCTAGCCCAAAGGACTCTTCCAATTTCAAATTTAAGTTAATACAACAAAGATTCAATTAAACTACACTGAAAGAAACTAAGGTATCTGAAAAAATGATCTTTTCAAACTCCAGTTTGTTGTGGATAACAAGTGCTAATTTGAACAGTGTTTTTTCAATGCAAATATGAATCATTCTTTTGATTTATTAGAACTGCTTCAGTGAATACCTAATAAGAAGACAGCAAAAATTAAATCTAGTTTAAAACCTCAAGCTTCATTTCTTTTCTTTTGTCCTGAATCAAACACTAAATAAACAAATTACACAAATGTTAATCTTGAGAATAAAGTTATATAGGCAAATATATAGGCTTATGCAGTTTTTCTTCCAGTGACACACTTTTTCCCTTGTGGTCAAATATAAATCTCACCTAAAAGGCATACTGTCACTGTTACAGTGAATCAGATGAAGTGACCTGACACTGATCTTTCCTGTTTCACCGGGACAGTGCACCAGAGTAGACTACCACTGTGAACAGTTATCAAACACTGAGCATGTATATATGTTTAAAGCTAAAACTCATAATAAAGAACTGGCCCATGAAAAGCACTTTATATAAATAGTTTTTTCCTGTTCACATTATGCAGAATTTCAACATCATCCACAATGTTAGTATATTAATTGAAACAATAAGGAGAAAGTAGGGGGAAAAGTTTCATAGTGTGGCCTGACATATTCTAAGGGGTCTCTCCTTAGAACCCCCTAACATACCACACAGGCAAGTAATATCAGTTCATTGTTTCTTGAAAGAGAGTAGACTGTCCAAGATTTCTTTATTGTTTAGGTGCCTTCTCCAAAGTGTGATAAAACACGAATGAATTCAATAGTGAATATCTAAAATTCAAACCAATTTAACTATGCTCAAGGGTATCTTTCTTAGCTATTATCACAAACATCCCAGTTGCCTCCATCTGTCTTTTAAAAAAAAAATTCTTTCCAAAGTTAAGACACAATTAAACCTTATTAATTCCCTCAAAAGCAAAAAAATATATGTACCATTCAGCATACAAAAGTTACACATTAAAAGTGCATATATATCTTTCTTAATTGGCCCACTCATTAAATTCACACTTGGTCATAATTACTTTTAACCTCTACAGAATTCTTCATATAATGTAGGTCAATAAACTCAAAAAACCAAACCCACTGTTCTCAAGTTGATTCTGGTTCATTATCACCCTATTAGACAGAGAAGAACTTCCCCATAGGGTTTCCAAGGCTATGTATCTTTACAAAAGCAGACTACCTCATCTTTCTTCTATGGAGCAACTGGTGGGTTCGAACTGCTAGTCTTTTGGTTAGCAGCCAAGCGCCTTAACCACTGTGCCACCAGGGCATATATAAAAAAAAATTACTTCAGCACAAAACACACTTTCTTGTTGAAATCTTAACTTCAATCAGTTCTCAGTCATTGTAAACTTGGGACAAACCCACAAAGAAATATAAACAAAGGTTTGTTATGTTTCTTTTAGTTTGTTGAACAGTTAACATAACACACATCACAAATTTCACTAAAAATTCGGGCCGACTCATTGCATATTTGCCCCCTGCAATGAAAAATAAATTAGAATTGGAGCAGTGTATTGCCATAACTTACCTTAAAGGTAAGCAGGTTCTCCTGTACTCACAGAACTCAGACTGGAGACATTCTTGATACTCTCCAACACAAGTGCTTTTAAGGAGAACCTAGTTTTAACCTTTGAAAAGATAGCATAGGACAAACCCTATAAAAATTCATTTTGCTTTCCTCAAAATAATGGAAGATCCTTTTGAAACTTAATATCTTCAGTTATCAATTTTACTGCATTATGGAGCTAGTGCAATCCTGCATAGCCTTGGTCAAAATGACAAGGCACAATAAAAAATTAAAGTATTATATGAACAAGAGAGAAGTCACTGAAGATAATTTAAGGCCTTGAAGTGAATTAGAGTATAATCAGTCTAATTTAAAGCTGAAGAAAAAACCATAAATTATCCACCTGAAAAGCTAGCAATATGCTTTTTCAGTTTCTGTTCTGTGGACAAGAAAACAGTAAGAACTCTTGCTTATGGTTCATGTATTAGAATCCTTCTGGACCTGGAGGAGTAAAAGTTATTTCCATTCTTCTAAAGTTCATGGAAGATTTCAGGACTGTTTTAGTCGTTTGCGTGGAATGCCAAACTGTGGACACTGTGCTGATGCTAATGCTCGGAAGGCTTCTGCTACTAGATGAGGGTGAGACTGAATCATGGACTTCCACCCTGCTGTTTCCATTATGTCCGTTGCTTGGCTAAAAAACAAAGAGAGATATTTACTTAAGAGTATTTTTCAAAACTCAGTGTTGCAATGTCATTTTATATGTTTAATTTAATGGATTTTGAAATGTTGTGTCTATCTCTGTGCACTCAATCCATTTGAGTTCATTAAAGTATCATCTTTATTTCATTGGTATCTTCTGTTGCAACTAAACTATTAAATATTTCTGGAGGTTCTATTCCCCTGAAGCATGTGATAATAGTTTCCATAATTCTTTCTACTCCCAATGGTACCACTTCTATACCAGCTCTTTCAAGTACCTCTCTCTCTCCTTTTAGTTGTTCCTTTCACATAGACTGTTGTCCAGAGTTTCAACTTTTGTCCTCTACTTTTCTCCTTTTGGAGATCTTGGGTGGCAAAAATGGTTAAACAATTGACTACTAGCCCAAAGTTTGGCAGTTCAAACCCACCCAGAGATCCTGTAGAAGACAGGCCTGGAAATCTGCTTCTGAAAGCTCATAGCTATTAAAAACTCCATGGAGCTGTTCCACTCTGCACACATGGGATCACCAGGAATCAAAATCAACTCGACAGCAACTAACAACTCCTCCCTTTTCATGCTTTATTCATTCTGTTTCATCTACTCTTCATAATTTTAAGCATCATATTCAGTAATAACTATTGATTCTTTAAATCTTAGGCCTTCCACATCCTTTCTTTACTTGGATGCACCTCTCTAAGAACCATAAAGTCAGTGTAACACTATTCCTCCCTCATGCCCAATCAGCTAATAGTTCTACCATCCACCCAGTAATTCAAATCAGAAACCTAGGAGTCATCTTAGAATCTGTCTTCTCCAATCAATTATCAAAACTCTATTACAATCCACAAAGATTATTCTGAATCTCTAGTTAAGGCTCACATCACCTCTCATTTGGATTACTATCACAGTCTCCTAACTTATCTTCTGACCTCCAATTCTGCTGCTCTCGAATCCAGTATCCACAATGCTAGTAATATAAACTTGACTGTATCACTTCTGCTACTGCTCCCTATTGCCAGGATCCAAGTTCTTTAGAAAAGGAAACAAACAAAGCCCCCTATTGCCAGTTTTCTACCTTCTCTTTCTAGCTTTCCATCTCCCACTCCCATGAGCTGACATTTTATACATTTTTCACAGCCGTCGAGTCGATTCTGACTCATAGCAACCCCCATTGGGTTTCCAAGGTGGTAAATCTTCATGGAAGTAGATTGCCCTGTCTTCCTTACATGGAGCAGCTGGTGGGTTTGAAGCACTGACTTTCCAGTTAGCAGTCAAATGCCTTATCCACTACACCACAAGAACTCCTTTATACTCTAGTACTGAACTAGGAGCTCTCATGGTATAATGCTTAAGGTATTTGGCTGCTAACCAAAAGATTGGTGATTCAAACCCACCAGCTGTTCCACAGAAGAACTATAAGGCAGTCTGCTTCCAAAAGATTTACAGACTTGGAAATCCAATGGGGTTTGCTATGAGTCAGAATCAATGGCAGTGTATTTGGTTTTTTTTGACAGTGAACTGCTTCCACAATTAACACCCATGGAAGCAGCAGTTAAGAAGAAATCAGATGTCATATTGCAGTGGGTAAATCTGCTGTGAAAGACTTCTTTCAAGTGTTAAGAAGCAAAGATGTCACTTTGAAGACTAAGGTGCACCTAACCCAACCCATTACATTTGAAATCACCTCATATGCATATGAAAGCTGGACACTAAAGAAGAACTGATACATTTGAATTGTGGCGCTGGCAAAGAATACTGAAAACATTATGGATTGCCAGAAGAATGAAAAATCTGTCCTGGTAAAAGTGTAGCCAAAAGAAATCATAGTGACCAGACTTTGTCTCACATACTTTGGTCATGCTGTCAGAAGAGACCACTCTTTGGAGAAGGATATCATGCTTGGTAAAGGAGAGGATCAGCAAAAAAGGGGAAGACCCTCAACAAGATGGATTGACACAATGGCTGCAACGATGGGCTCAAGCATAGGTAAGGACTGTGAGGATGGCACAGGACCAGGAAGTGTTTTGTTTTGCTCTACAAAAGGTCTCTCTGAGTCAGAGCTGACATGATGGCACCTAACAACTGAACTGCTTAGGGTACATGATATAGAACATGCTTTCACTGAGAAATCAGAACACACACCTAAATGCTCGGGCAAAAAACCTAGTTATCCTTGCCTCCTCACTTCTCTCCCTTGCACCCCTTCACCATCCAAATATTGTACGTTCTTCCTCTAAAAGGTTCTTATATCCTTTTTTCTCTAGTCTCACTGTCTGTCTGATTTTGCCCTTCATCTCTTGCCTGAACTACTTCGATGATTTTCCAACTGGTCTACTTTGTTCCCCAATAGCCTTCCACCCTCCTCCCCACAACTTCCCTACATCTATTCCCCACACTGCATGCACAGAAACTGTTAAAAAAGCAACCTTGATCATGCCCAAAGCCAGGTTACTGATATCCATACTTGTGGAATAATGTCTAAAAGCCCTAATGTTATTTACATGGCCTTTCATAATCCGATCTCTACAGGCTTCTCCAGTTTCTTCTCATAACCTCTGTCTCTCACACTCTGTACTGCTCTTTCTCATCAAACTTTTGTTAAAACTCTGCACATCTCATTCCCTTGTTTTGAGGATACACTCTTCACTTTTCTTCCCACCTCTTCATCAAGATAAATCCTACCAATACTTCAGGTCTTTATTTACACACTTCCTTGGAAAGGTTCTCTTTGACTCCTAAGTTAAGTTAGGTGCCTTTGCTTTATGCTCCTATACCAAAGGTTCCCTATCATTATACTTTATTGCAATTCTTTTTTTTTTTTTTTAATTCTTCTTCACAGAATCACTCCTTCAGCTATCACTTTATTAGGGAGATGGCTGTTTTCTACAGGGTATATTTTGCAAACAGCAATGTAATTATTTATTGCAATATTTTCTTAACGCCTATTTATCTGCTGCTAAAACATGAACTTCATGAAAACAGAAAAAAACATCTGTCAATTTCACCATTATATTCTCTGTACTGAGCAATGTGCCTTGGGAACTTACTCCATAATGAATATAATTATCTGTCAAACGAATGATCAATTCCTGCTTCATACTTCTGTACTTGGATCCAAGCTATCTCTTTTGTACCTGCAAAGCACGTTACTTCTTTCTTAAGTTTTTCTAACTTTATTTAATGTTTTAAAATTCAGTTCAGATTCTTTTTATATCCCATCCAAGGACAGAGACACAATAGATTCTAGACAAATGTTTGCTGAACTAAACGGTACTGCTATCAACAAAACTTTTTCAAAAATGTATCTGACATCAAACTGTCAGTAGGTTTATAATTTTAATTAGTTGTTTAGAAACACAAAGATACCTCTTAATGCACCTGATACCTATTTTCATTTATTTATTCAACAAATACCTTTCTGAAGACCTTATATCTCCAGAGACTATAAAGTAAGTTAACAGTTTTCAAACGCTGAAAAAGTTATATAATGTATTTTTTATCTTAATAGTAAAATTAGAATCTGAAAGTGGCTAAGTACAAAGGATCTCAGAATTGTCATTTGTTCAAATTGTCCATATTTATAAGATCCAGGCTTAGAAAGATGTGTCAACTACCTCCCTCTTTAGTTTTACCAGGCAGAAGAAAAGATCAAGTTATTAGCAGTTTTGGAATATCAGGCAACTATCGATACAAGATACTTGGCTAACCTAAGAAGGAGTAAGTTAGTATTCAAATATAAAGATTTTCTGTGAAGATATGTAAGGTATACTCACCATGGGATATAGTAAGTATTTCTCAAATTTTCAGAAATACTTTCTGAAGGGGCAATGATTAAATTTCTATTAGCCCTTGAAATACCTGGATTTGGATATATTCTATGTAAGTGCATTTAATAAATTAGACCACCCATCCAAGTTCACAATAAAAACTGATCTACACAGGAGCATGGTTTCAAGAACCCAGATAAGTAGTCGAATAACTTTTTAAAATAACTGGCAGTTTTCTTCAAATAATTAACATTAGGAGCTCTGGTAGCACAGTGCCTAAGGCATGTGACTGCTAACCAGAAGGCTGGAAGTTCATACCCACCAGCCACTCCTCGGAAGGAAGGTTGGGCAACTACTTCCATAGTGATACTGCCTTAGAAACCTGTTCTGGTTACCTACTACCACTCTGACAATAATACACCATAAACGGGATGCCTTAAACAAACAGGAGTTAATTCTTATAATTTGGAGGCTTTAAGTCCGAGTTCAAAGTGCCAAAGCTCTAGGGCCTGGGTGAAAGCCCCTCAGCCTTGGGCTTCAGCTCTTCCTCCAGTTCCTGGCCCACTGAAGCTAGAGACTATTCTAGCTAACTGCTGGCTACTGAGGCTGCCAAGCCCAAGGTTGACAAGTAAAAAGGCACAGTCCCGATGTTACCAAACCACATGGCAGACCATTAATTCAAGTCCATGGTAAGTCCCCAGGTCAGCAGAGCATGGCAGGCTGCTGTACAATGACAGAGCTACATGCAGGGTCCAAGCGTGCCATAAGCTAGAGACCATTTCCCAAGGCTACTGCTTATATACAGGAAGCAGACCACATTTCCTAAGTCAGCTACTCAGCTGCTCACGATTCCACCATGGAGTGGATTACCATCATAGGGAATACTACCTCCAGTTGCCCAGCCACTCAACCAGGCCCAGCCAAGTTAACACACAAACTGAACTACCACAAAACTCAAGGAGGGGTTGCTATGAGTCAGATCCGACTTGACAGCAGTGGTTTTGGTGGGCGGTTTTCTTCAAGTAATTAACATCTGGTTTCTTATTTATTGTACATGAAGCAAAGACTATGCAAACATTTAGTCTCATTTATACAGATCAACTTTAAGTCAGAAAATGATGTCACCTTACCTGCTGTTCCAGTTTTTCCCATCTTTACACCCAAGCTGTCGAAGCACACTGCACCTGTATTGAAGATTTAAAAAAACTTAAAAAAAACAGTCTGGTTGAAAAATGTTAATGGTGTTATACTCAGTGAAATACAAGTATAGCTTACCTATTAATAAAGTCTATAGCTTGTGCTTTCAACTGTTCTGCACTGTGCAAATCTGCAAGGACAAGGGTATCAGCAACATTTTCTACTGAGAGGTTACTACACAGAGCTTCTTCACACATGACTTTCAGACGTTCCAGTGCATACTATCCAAAAGAAAAACATAACTATTTAACATTTACTACTAAGTTTTCAAATACATATTTTTGATTTAGAAAATAAAGTTAAAGCAGACTATTAAACTGAGGATACTTTAAATCATTATTTTAACATAATGTGAAGAAAGTGGATATATTTAGGAAAAAGACTAATTTTCTTTAGGAAATTTCAATTTGCTTTAAGTCCATATTATATTTTCAATATAGGCTTTATGCTAAAATGCCACATTATTGTTAAATATTCTTTTAATGAGTATATTTCTCTTTTCTACTATATCAAATACCAAACTGTACCACCCAGTACATTGTATGTTGTCACTACAAAGTCTTGAAGAATTCACTAGTAAGCTAAACAACTCATATTCAAAACCACTAAAACTTCTTGGAGTTGCTAGTGAATATATTCTACATTTTAAATTTTTTAAAAGCTTTATTAAAGTAAACTTAACATATAAGAAACTGTACATATTTAGGAGGCGGGGCAAGATGGAGGACTAGGCAGAAGGATTGCACAGACCCTCTTCAACAAAGAAAAGGGAAACCAATTAATACAGACACAGAAGATAATCTTGGACCCCTGAGCCTTGAAGGAAAGGATGCAGATTTGGACTAAACCCCAACTAGCAGAAGAATTTGCGTGA